AATCGTCAAATGTCCGGATTGATGAATCCTTATATTCTTGCTAATTACGAGTCACCATACAAAAATTAGTACAAAAGGCCGAATTGGTGTCAATAGTCAATATTCTTTCTTTCAATGTAAGTATTATAATTGATTTACGGAAGATGCTATATGTACCAAAATTTTCATCTAATCCCTCATTGATTACTTACAATAGGGGGTGAGGACCACATTTTGAGATTTTTTTATTCACGTAGATCTCGTATGCATGTGAGAGAGCGCAAGTTATTCAGCACACTTTTAGGTTTAAAAATATAATTATTCTGGATTTTCACGCACTGAAAAGTTGATAATTTTCTAAACGAACGATGATGGTCCCATAACTATTTCCCATTAATTTGCCCACATGCACGAAAGGAGAGAATTTAATTTTGTAGTCTTTAATAATTTATTGGACCATTTGATTGGACATAAATCTGATGATCAGTCTCCACCAGATGACCACAGATTTTTCCAACCCCTTCTCGATTCAAGAACGTATTTGCATATTTTATTATTTATTTATTTTTTTTCTTTCGATAGCATGAAATTAAAATCTTGTTCTCTATTATAAAATAAAACATCACGAGATTGCCCGGCAATAGAAAGATGTCAATAAATAGCTAAAACACTTCATGAAAATTTCATAGAATTATAATCTGATGATCAGTCTCCACCAGATGACCACAGATTTTTCCAACCCCTTCTCGATTCAAGAACGTATTTGCATATTTTATTATTTATTTATTTTTTTTCTTTCGATAGCATGAAATTAAAATCTTGTTCTCTATTATAAAATAAAACATCACGAGATTGCCCGGCAATAGAAAGATGTCAATAAATAGCTAAAACACTTCATGAAAATTTCATAGAATTATATGTTAGATTTTGTTACTTTGGTCTGTGAGAGACGTGAATATATACATAGTGAATGAAGTATTAGAGTTAGGTCAGAGTACGTACCTTCCAAGGTTATGGTTAGTACCACACCCTATATAAGTACCCTATAGTATTTTAGAATAGCAAAAGTTCTCGATATTAAAATAAGTTTATGTTGTTGCTTGACATTCTGCCATAAGGATGTTGAAGGGTGAATCCAACCTAAGATACGAAAAGTAATATTTAAGAGTGTGATAAATGACTACAATTAAAATTTATTGTGACAATTGAATCTCCAATTTCTCATAGAGCAAGTCAACTTATGCACGTTACTTAAAAGCTACCTTTTTTTTTATTTTTTTTTTTATAACTCGGGTATTCAAATTTCGCCTGACTAATATTGAGGAGTGGCAGCCTTCCCCCCTAGTTTGCCATCCAGGTAAATTTGGATGCAGACATAGCGTATATACATTTGGGCCGGACATTCGAGATACGGTTCTCCTTCCGGTAAACCTCCCTTTACGACGTGCGGATAGGACCCCGGAGGAACGACAAGGCGCATCATAACTTTGCCTCTACAGGACAGCTGCCTTCCAACATAAATGTTGCCTTCCAGCTGCCGCGAGGATTCGAACTTCCGATACTTCATGTGGAACCTTCCTGCTTTACCACTGCGCCATGCTCGTGGGGGAGTTAAAAGCTACTTTTTTTAGAAGTATATTAAGAGACGTCTTCCAAAAGTATGTCTATAGTCGCATTTAAGTACACTCAAACTATTTTCAAGATGCATGATGGTGAAATCACATGAAATTGGCAAGCAAATGACACTTGAAAACAACTTGTCCTTTGCAACATACAAGAAGCAATTAAGCACGCACAATGATCATGAAGTATGGCATGAAAAGTTTATTAAAGAAAAATAACTACAAAAATGACCATATTAGGGTTTCTTTTGTAATTTTCAGGGACAAACATCATTGAATGCCACGCGGTTTTGGTGAGGTTGCAGAAACGGCAATAGACACAGCTGACTTTACGTAGTTCATGGTGGAATTAATGCATTTGCTGTCAACTTTTGATTCATTGGGTCCTTTTTCCCTTCTTATAGGTCAGTGCAATTAGGATGTATGCCGTCCCTTAAAGATAAAATTTAAATAAATAGACGTGTTAAGTTGCAATTCTTACTGTTATCCACTATCTAGTACGTCTTAAATTTCTAGATGAGGTGGTTTAACATCTATATATACGGACAAGTTGACAAACTTTTCTCTGTATTTCAAAAAAGAAACAAAGAGGAGGAGAAGGGGTGTGAAATTCAAGGAAAAGAGGTTGAATCAAGAAAGAGTTACAGAAGAAGAGAATTAAGAACAAAGGATAATATGGGGAGACCTCCTTGCTGTGATAAATTGGGAGTGAAGAAAGGGCCATGGACTCCTGAAGAAGACATAATGTTGGTTTCTTATGTTCAAGAACACGGCCCCGGGAATTGGAGGGCCGTTCCCACAATTACCGGTAAGCAAAAATATTGTTCATTGTACAAAATCTGATATTGATATTGAGTTCTCGACATGTTACATGCTCGATTGGCTTATCTAGAACTCGAGGGTAGTGTAAAACCAACATTAAACTAGACAAGTTTGAAATGGTACAAGGTTTTTCTAAAGCTTTTGTGTTTTTATATGTGGGTTTTTATGCAGGATTGAGAAGATGCAGTAAAAGTTGCAGGTTAAGGTGGGCTAATTATCTCCGGCCGGGGATCAGAAGGGGTAACTTCACTGATCATGAAGAGAAAATGATTATTCAGCTTCAAGCTCTTTTAGGCAACAAGTATGTATTAGGGAAAATTGTTTATTAGATCATCCTTTAGATCTAGCAACTCATCGAACAATGCTATAAGTACAGATTTTTTTCTTCAAAATTGGTACAGGAAGACAGTTATCTTTTGGTAATTGGCTACAGTCAAAGAGAGTTTTTGGCAATAGCAAATCAAAGAAAGATAGATGTCTACCTGTACCAATTCTGTTAAAAGTATATAATAATTCAACTCATCAAATATAATGACAAAGAAATTTATGCATCCGATCTCAAATTCACCAATATTTGATTCTAAATTTGTGGAGAAAAAACTTGAAATTTTGGTGTTAATGATGATTTTGTTGTAGATGGGCTGCCATTGCATCTTACCTTCCAGAGAGAACAGATAATGACATTAAGAACTATTGGAATATCCATTTGAAGAAGAAGCTTAAAAAGCTTGAGGCACCTGAAATTCCTAATGGATTCATTCCCAGAGGGCAATGGGAAAAGAGGCTTCAAGCTGATATAAGCACAGCCAAACAAGCCCTTGAGGATGCATTATCATATGAAAACACCATCCAAGGATTCACCTATGCTTCCAGCACTGAAAACATAGCCAGACTGCTCAAAAATTGGAATCCTCCAAAATCTGAACAATCTTCAGTTTCTTCTTCAACTACCCAGAATTCATTTATCAACAACCACACAAGTTCTTCGAATTCTCCTGAGGTTCAAGATGAAACCAAACCTGACTCGGCCCCGTTATCAATGCTGGAGAATTGGTTGCTTGATGAAAGTGCAATTCCAGGGACTGATCTGTTGTTTGATGAAAATCCACAACCATATTAGAAGAATTATTATTTGGCCGGTTTTTACCTAGCTATAAATATGCAAACTCAAATTTTAATTGAATTTTTGCACAAGGATATCAAGCTTTTTTTTTTTTTTGTTCCACCACCAGTTGTTCTTGTTAATCTCTTTCGAATTTACATCTTTGACACCAATTAATGTATATTGCATAGTTTCTAATTGCTTTTGCATTCCAACTTTGAATAAAGTTTTATGTTAAATTTAATTGGTTAATCTCAATTACTTATATCGCGTTATCTAAGTTAAACCAACATTTTTGAAAATCGTAATTCAATTCGATACAAAGGATCAGAAAAAATCCGCTTAAACTAAAACCAGAAAAAATGAAAACTTTCAAAAGATTGATTTTGACCATTTATCTTTTCTAGATCGACTTTCTGGTTGGATCAGATTTGACCCTTTTAATTTATCTTTAGATGTTTCACATTAGAATAATGCTATGCAACTCTATTCAGTTACAACTTTAATTTAGATGGCGCTTGATGATAGGTTGAATGAAAAGTGAAATTAAATGACCTATTAATTTCACTTATTATTTAATGTTATATTAACTCAAGTGGAGCTAAATAACATTACTCTTCACATTAATTTACAAACTAATAGTTTTCATCTTAAATTTAATCGATCAATTTCAATTACATTAATTATTTGTTCACATTTAAACCAATATTTTTGAAAATTGTTGTAGTGTGTCCAATTTAGTCAAAAGGATTATCCGACTAAACTTAAACCCAGAAAAAGAGGGCGATGGGAGTTCAACTCTCGTCGTAACCATGTTCAACAGTCCTTGTCCATGTTGATATTGTTGATGGCTCTTGACCATTTATCTTTTGTAGATCAATGTTCAAGCCGAATTTGAAAGTATTGGTTAAAACTAATGATAAAAAGTAATTTACCAAACAATTTCACCATAAAAATGTTACTCTACAAAAGAGAAAATATGTTAACCTAATTTAGTATACAATATGGGTGTAGCCAAGATGCATCGATCGGAAAATTATCATTTTTAATAGACTAATAAACAAATATATCACACTTTTCTTTAGATGTATCACATTAATTTACAAAATAATTGGTTATTAATTTTGATCTTAAATTTAATTGATTGATTTAAATCACGTAAATCATTTGTTTACAGTTAAACCACTATTAAAATTGGAATTGGAACTGACAGTTCAAGTTCGAGTTTGGTTCTAATAATTACATAAACCCAAAAAATTTCATTTATTAAATATTCGAAGTATAACGGATATCTAGACTGACCTACCGACATCCAGACCTATTATGCAATTTCACTAGACAAGAAACGGGACCCATAAAAATGATTAAAGACCACCTGGTTCATAATTGAAATTTTATCATCCATTTAGTTTGATGAGCAAAATAAGATTTTTTATAGAATTGAAAATTCATACTTTAATTTTTGTTTAAAACCTTATGATCAAAACAACGTTTCTACTCGATTTATACATGGGAAAAACAAGAAAGTAAATATTCTTTTCAACATTGCAATGTAATTGAACTCGTGGAAACAAATTAATAATCCAGTTTGACATAAAAAAAAGTTTTACCTTGCGACACTGGAGATAAACGAACAAAAGGGACGAAAAAGGAGTAGATATAATTTCATTATGGTCCTTAAAACTATTTCTTGAGAAACAAGTTGGTCCCCAACTTTTGAAGAAAAAGAATAATTTAATTGCCAACTACTCTTTATAATTGCAAAATCAATTATCAAATAGCTTTTGTTAAGCATTGGTGACATGACATGCCATTTAATTGGTGAATCATTAAATTCATGGAACCTACCATTAACTTATTCACCAATTAAATGGTATGTCATGTCACTGATACTTAACATAAGTTAAGCACGGTGTTTTGGAGATTATATATATATATATATATATATATATATATATATTAAGTGCAATAATAAAGAGATGAAATAGAAAAATCAATACAAGAATTTACGTAGTTCGACCGTGTGCCTACGTCCACGAGAACAAAGCGAAGATAATATTATTCAGTATGAAAAATAGGGTTACAACATTATTATTTATACTAACTCTAGCCTAGGCACATAAAAACTTTAAGACTCGTACAAGAAAATACCCCCAACCCATTCAGCGTCCATAGAAACCCGACAGTGAATTAAACCCGCACAAGGCTGATGCCGTCGCTTCGCTACGCTCCCCTCATTCCATTCTTCTCCGCTTCGACATTGGCCTATTTGATCCAGGGAATCTGTGTCTGTGTGTGTCTATATATACTATTACCTTCAATAATAAACTATAATATCGAAAAAATTAGGCGTAGAGCCTGAAAATTGTCACAATCAATATCACATGATGTATACAGTATGAACTGTATTTCTCATTAAATTATATAGCAAATTATAGAAAGTATGTGGGCAGAAATTGCCTTCAAAATATGCAGGATTGCCTTAAATTCGAACATGTGAAGTGTTTTAATCTTTCATCTAATCTATAATGACATGAAGAAAAATAAACCACAAGCTCCATATGATTATGACTTTACAAGTTGGTCACAAAAACAAGAAGAAAAAGGTAAAATTTGACCATTTTATACAACTATTTCTTTCAAGTTGATCTTGATTAGGCTATTTGATATCAAACGGACGACGTGAATTTTACGGAGAGTTCAATCTTGATATTGACATTTCATAATGAATGTTATCGACTTGGTTAAGATATATAAATTTACTAACGTTTGATATTAGCCAATGTCTTTAAAAATAAGACATTCTTTCAAATTTACCATCTCCATTGTACAAATTTATTAATTTATGTTCATATAGATCTTCTTAATAATTTTCGATCCGAACCCTTTCAAAATTTTAATATAATTCAAGTTATAATGAATTAAGAACATAAGCCGTATTAATCTACTGATCTAAGAATCTGCAATTAGACATTTGCCAGTAAGAATAAAATGACAGATGAAGAAGTTGAATTGTCTTAATTTATGCCAAGAGACTTATTCATGTGAAATTAAGTCAGCAACATAGAGAAGAATGATGTGAAATGTCTCATTTTATCACAAAATCAGTGTCCATGCAATAAAGGCATTAGTGGACAGACCACGAGATGGTGCATGAAGTCCATTGAATGACTTGAATGTCCAATATTGTTCTCTTGGACTACAGCTGTCCATTATTTTCTGTTAAGGCATTTAAATAATTGCAAATGGTCTTTCTTGAAATGTTAAAATTTTTCAATTAAGTAGTTTAGCGTGGTATCAGAAAAAGAAAAAAAATAAGTTAAAGTCTCGACGCCACCTACTTATATTAATGTGGTAGGTGTTAGGGCAATTAATTTAGTTGTACAAAACAATTGTTTGCAGTATATTAGCCTTTGATTTCAAATGATTTTAAAAAAAGTGTTTTTGAAATGAATGATATAGATGTTGTTTTGTAAATCAACTTTTTCAATTAATTTTGTACAAATAGCATGACTCGTGTTAGGATTTGAAGGTAACAAAGAACCATGCGTACATGTGAACAAATATTATTGATATATAAGGATCTCTATAACTATTTAAGCTTTTTTTTTCTATATTATTTGATTCAACAAAACGTTTGGTCGTGTGATTTTTCTTTTTCTTTCTTTCTTTTTTTTTTCAACATTTTTCCAATAAAAATAGTGAGAAACACACACAAAAAAAAAAAAAAGGACCTCACTCTATATTGAATGACATGGAAAAAGATAATGGATAATTTTCTAATGTGTATACTTAATCTTATATAAATTCTATATGATATATTGTATCGAGTATGTCCATAAAGAATAAATAGATGAACTAGTAATAGGTTTTTGAACGTGAATTGAACGTCAGTTAGAAAAGAAATTATTATTTCGAAGTGATAGAAGTGCAAGTTACAATGAAACACAAGTTTATTTAGAAAATAATCAAGAAATTGTTGGATGGGATATACTGAATTTCATACCATTCACATAAGCAGGAGAAATACTACTCAAATCTTAAGAACCTAATCAAAATCAATTTTTAGAAGATGGTAATAAGTTGACCAAAATCATTTTACAGGAAAATTGCTTAAAAATAAATTTCTGATTATGTCTTTTCAATCACAAAACGATATTAAATATGATATTTTTCTTATGATCTACTTCGAAGATTTGACACTTAGTCGTATATCTTTCCAAATTTTTCTTGAGTGTTTTTTTTTTTTTTTTTCACGAATTATTTTGTCGGCTATGCCTATGATTTTTTTTTTTTTTGACAAATTAAATATGTTTTAACGTTTATTTTATTCTCCTCTTTACTCTTTGTTCATTTAACTAATTTTTGAAAAAAAACACACACACAAGTGTTTTGAAAATTGACATCGTAGCACTAGTACCTTGAATGCTTACGCTTATTGCTCTTCTAAAATTCACCTCTTTTTAATTATAAAATAAAACTAAAAATTAAATTTTGAGTTGAATCATCCAACATACACGTGAACTAGACGATTTTGGCTTTTTTTATTATTTATTATTTTTTAACATTATTAATTTTTACTTATAATCGAAGCAATTGTTAATTTAGAGACTGTTTGACAACCATTATTATGCCTGATTAAAAAGTAACGAAATTTTTTTGGTATACATGTAGAATATTTTATTACGTGAATACATGGTTAAAAATAATCTTATAGTAAATCATAAATTAAATTAATGGTTAAACAAGCACCTGATAAGTTTGACCCAATTTCCAAAACACTGCATCCAGCTAATGAAAAATTCATTGATAGTTCTACAATTATGTAAAGTCACATGGCGTGGGATCCTACAATGAGTACTTCCAAGTCATTTTGAAAGTGCAAGAGTGTTAAATTGGGCAATTTAGACAGCTTCTCTTTAAAGTACAATATTTGGAAGTTTGAGTTGGACCAAAATGACTAGAGTAATTTTTGAATAATTCTATGGGTACAGGAAATATCCACAGAAGTCTTATAGAAATTTGAATGTGCTGACTTGGCACATAGAATTATTATACGTTTTTTAATTCCTTTGCAATTTAACCCAAAAACTAGTTCCAAAAGCAATCCAGTCTTCACCCTTAAAATGAACCCGTAGATTTTCCCCCCAAATCATTTCCATTTTGCCCCCCAAATCACAAAGCAAGAGCAAAACTGCTGCTCTTCATCGCCGTTTGTGGTCCTCCATCGTCGGCTGACATCTCGACCACTGATTGGCACGTACCATCGGACCTAGTGCGAAGACGGCTACCCACCGAAACGTGGAAATAGTATTTGAAGATCATCTAAGTCGAATAGTAGATGATGAACTTGGTTCTAAATGAGTTAGCTCATACATTGAATTAGCAGTCGACCCAAAGATTAGACTACAGAGGTTGTCATTTATTGCCTTTCCGCCCCTTTTCTTAACACTAGAGGAGTATATGATGTGCAAGGATAGTGAAAGGGGATTGTAGAATTAGTTAGGTATTATCTAACATGTGGCCACTTGAACATTTGATTAGTTATGGATTCGGGGGGAGTTTTCATAAGTGTTAATTGAACACCTTATTTCAGCAATTCTATTTTTGAGTATCTCAGAAGATTAGTTGAATTTAACAAATTGTTTAAAAAATTGTATGCACTCTTCTGACTATAAATAGTTGCTCTATCAAAGTGCACAATTAAATTATGGGGAAAAAATGTCAGAATGATAAAAGATAACAGTGATTCGAGAAGGTATTTTATGAATTGCTATTTTTTTTTTCTTTGGTTGAAAACGTACTTTAATTGATAGAAAATTGGCTATGTCCCATTACTAATTTCAGACCTTATGTGCCATTATTATTATTTTTTCATTGCAAGCATGTTAATTATTGTTAGTGGCAGAGTTGTGCTTTTATTTACACGTAATTTACAACTTCTAATAAAATTACAACATTTGTTGTAGGAAAATAGATCATAGAAGATGAGAATCATGATTTCATTGTAGAATGTATAATGAAAATATAGTGGCAAATTTGAATACATTGGACAACGAAAAATTAGGAGGAGATGTTGTGACTAAGCCTGAGGTAGGTATGATGTTTAATAATGAAGAATAAATGTTGGACTTTTATAAAAGCTATACTTATGCCGTATGTTTTCCAGTGAGAAAATGGAATTCGAAAAAGGGAAAGGACGGAGTTATGAGATATGTGACGTTCAATTGTAGTTATAAAAGGTCAAAGAATTTATACTACAGGCAATTCTTTGAAGCCGCAACCAACAAGTCAGACAAATTGTAATGCAAGAATATCTGCATCATTAGATGGTCTTGGAATATAGAGAATTAACAAACTGTACCTTGAACATAATCATACGACAAGTCCTTCTAAGTCAAGATTGTATCGATGCAACCGAAAGTTGGCTGCAAGTGCAAAACGAAATCTCAAATTGAATGATATAGCAGGAATCCCCTTGCACAAGAATTTTAAATCCACAGTTGTGGCAACAGGTAGATATGAGAACATGACGTTCATGGAGAAGTATTGTCAGAACTATATAGAACAAGTGAGACGACTACAACTTGGTGAAGGAGATTCCATCGCAATACAAGCATACTTTTCAAAGATGCAAGCACGGTGCTATGGGATTTTACTTCAGTATGGAGTTAGACGTCGATCACGACTAAAGAATGTATTTTGGACAGATAATAGATGTAGGCAATCTTACAAAGAGCTTGGTGACGCTGTCACTTTTGATACTACGTATCTCACTAATAAGTACGACATGCTGTTCGCCCCTTTTGTTGACGTAAATCATCATGACCAATTAACACTGCTTAGTTGTGGACTATTATCGAATGAAGACACATGGACTTTTGTGCGGTTGTTTAGGACATAGCTCGAATGCATGCACGCCAAACCTCCCAGTGGAATAATCACCGATCAAGATAGAGCAATGCAAAATACAATTGAGATAGTTTTTTCAGATATGAGGTACAGATGGTATTTATAACACATTTTGAAGAAGTTGTAAGAAACGTTTGGCTACAATGTTCATAAAGTCTCCATATTTTTTGCTATATGTGATTAAGTATAGGATTCACAATTTGTTGAAGAATTCGAGCACAATTGGAGGATAATGCTCGATTTGTATGACTTGCATAATAATAACTAGTTTTTGGGATTATAAGATAACAAGTCGTTGGGTTCCTTGTTTTTGAAGACCACTTTTTGGGCAGGGATGCAGGGATATCAACAACACAACGAAATGAGAGTATGAAAGCATTTTTCGATGGATATATGCATTTAAAGTCTCGTTGAAGCAAATCGTCGAATAGTATAAAAGAGCACTTAAGAATAAGGTTGAGAAAGAGATTCGGGCTAATTTCAAGTCATTTTCCCAAATGGTATCATGTGCAACTACTTTCGAAATGGAGAAACAATTTCAATTAGTGTACACCATTTCAAAGTTCAAGGAAGTACAAAATGAGTTCACTGAGAAGGTCTATCGTGATGTCATCTCTGATAAGGATGAATGTTTTTCGACGAACTACTAGGTTCATGAGCACCAGAAGAAAAGAACATTTTGCGTCTCATTTCGGAGAGATACTTGCGAATTCACTTTTAGTTGCCACGTATTCGAGATTCGAGGAATCATTTGCAGGCATGTGATCACAATCTTGATCCGCAATGACATCACGTCAATGCCTAATAGGTATATACTACGAAGATGGGGGAGAGATGTCAAAAGAGTACACACGAGGGTCAAAGTCAATTATGACGAGCTAGGAAGTACTCCGGGACAAGTAAGATATGACGATATGTGCCAGGCTTTTCTCGGAGGTGGCAGACCTTGCTGCAGATGATGAAGAGTGGTTAGTGCTATAATGGAATGGATAAAATTAGAAGTAGAACACATGTGGACGTCAAAATCGAGTAATGGAAGCACTGCCATTTCGTGCATGTTATTCGTTTAGCCTCTACTTGTAATGAGTCACAAAATTCTGGAAGCATGAGCATATTGGATCCTAAATTGGCATCACCCATTTACGTCAGTCCCTTTCCCTTCCCATCGCATTCTCCAAATCCCTTTCCTTTGTGAAATGTTACGTGCAATGTTATGTCGACATCTCATTTCTTGGTAATTCGAGCTAGGCTGTTGAAGATTCTTGGCAAGCTTCATATTCCTTGTTGGGCTCATGATTCACATCTTTGTTAACGGTACTTGATTCCCCACTCAAAATTTCATTTTTCACCCAATCGAAATATATACAGTCATTACTACACGTGAAGAACAAACGCCCTTTGTTTTAAGTATTCCGTTCTACCTCAAAACATTTCCAAACTCCGTGTTTACATGAAGGGCATCCACGTTTTGTTTGACATTGTCCAAAGTAGCAAGTGTTACTTCTACAGTCGTGACAAATTCCGAAATTCCTTCCTCTCATTCTAGTCTACAACTGTTGAACAAACAAATAAACATACATGAGTGCAATTGAATTATGAAATCCCACATTGGAACTTATGAATAACAGTACATTGCAAACAAAGTACTAGTTTAATTGAATTTCACTAAGATTATTTTACTACCCTCTTGCAAATACAAATTCAATAAAATGAGGATAATTTCTTCCACCATCATTCAGCTTCGAATTTGGCCACAATTTTAGCAAGCTTTCCACAATATAAACAGAGAACAAAAATGATAGTATCAAATTCAACAAGCTTTTCACAATAAATTGCTGAAATGAAATGAAAAAAAGAAAGCAAATTTATCCATGTACGAGCTACCCTATTTACAAGCAAGAAGCCATCTTTAATAACATGCTAATAAACTGAAGAACAATCAATAATAGAGTAAGTCGAGCTATTTTTTAAGTAGGAATTGAGAAGTTATTTTGCCACAAAATTTCGAAAAAATCATCAATTTATGAACAAACTCATAAATTTACAAAGAACAAGAGCTCAAAGACTTCAACTTCATCAACCATCAGGTTCCATAATCGATATACTTCAAATATATGTCAAAATAGAGAGGAAAAAACATCCAAATCATGTAAACAAGTCTAAAACAGCTTAACCATAAATTAGCCTTAAATTTGATAAAGAAATGCATAAAAAAGTAAATAACAAAATACCTTTGCCCCAGCATCGACGATTCGACATTGTCTTCAAATACTATTTCCATGTTGGGTTTCGGTGTGCTATCGTCTTCACACTACGTCAGAAGAACGGCGCCAGTCAGTGGTCCAGATGTCGGCCGACTTTGGAGGACCACAAATTTGGCGATGAAGAAAGCGACGATTTTCCTCTTACTTTGTGATTTGGGAGAAATGGAAATGATTTGGGGGAAAATTCTATGGGTTCATTTTAAGGGTCAAACCGGTTCACTTTTGGAACCGATTTTTGACTGACATTGAAAAAGAATTAAAAAATGAATATTAAGGTCAGCACATTCAAATTTCTCTAAGAATTTTGTAGGTATTTCCTATACCCATAGACCAATTGTAATTTTTTAGTAATTCTGTTCAATTTATTATATTTATGTTTGGAAGTAGGAAAAATGCAAAAAATATTTCTTTACACTAATCATATAATAAATGCACCCCTGACCCATTCGGGAATGTCATATCTTGAAGACCAAATCCATCCTTCTTCACAAGGATTTAGTTGGACTCCTTTACCGACCTTGATATAATGATATTCCAAATGTTAGTATTTTGCCCTTCTTACAGAGGTCCGTTCCTGACATACGGGATCATGACCAAGGACACACCTCCATCTGACCTCTTTATCTAGATGAATCTCCCGTGTGTCTCTTCTTATAAGGAGGAAAGCCCATGTTTAAGGTCTTATATTATAGCCTAAAGCCCATTCAGGTTTTAAACCTGATGGTGAATATAAATACAAGAAGATTGAGAAAATAGGAGTCCAACCTGATTTTGAAAAGAGAGAAAAAACAATTTTTTTCTCTGCATCCAGATTTCATCAAAGCTCCAATTCGAGTTGTCCATAATCCGGTCGAGCTGAAATTTGAAGGAGAGGTTCAAAAGACATAGAACTACAATCTGAATGGTGGAGATTGGATTTTGAGTTCGGGAACATTGGTTAATATGCGTGAACGGTAACCATATTTTTTAGGTATATTTTTCTATTTTCATATTGTTTTTTCGAGATAGTTGTTATTTTGAAGAAATATACATTGTAACCTCTAGTTGTGACTAGAGAAGACTTGGTATACCCATTATTTGATTGATACTGGAGGTTTTGATTGGACTGGTCCCTTGATTTTTATTTCTCACATCGGGAAAGTTTTTAAACGTAAAATAATTGCTTTTGTTATTTTGATTTGGTGTGATTTATTTTCTTTAGAATATTTTCAGCATATACATTTGTCAAAAATGGTGTTTTACTCATTTGTTTTGGAAGAAGAATTATTGCAATGTTTGTTATTTGTTTGCATCTTACTCCCAAATTGTGTACTCAACTCCTCAACTAACCAAGGGGCTATCGCATGGCCAATCTTGAGAATTTTGAGGCCTTAATCGATTAATTACTATGAGGCCCTATAATTTTTTTTTCATATATATAACAATATTTAAATAAAAAATATCTATATTCAAATAAAAACTTTGTACATTCTAAAAGATAAAATTGCAAAATACATTATCACTCACAACCCTAAAGATTTGGCTAGCATCATATTTAGTCTTCTCATGTTTTGAGATGCAAATTAGTAATCAAACAACTCAAATCAAGTTATGAAAATGTTGTGTTTTATACAGGTTAGTGTATATGCACTATCACAAAGAATTTGAGTATTCCTTCTTTATTAGTAATGAAAATCATATGCGAAGCGACTCTTAAGCCGCAAAATAAAGGGTGATGCTACACATACATTAAGGCGTTCATACCGATGTCCACTCTCCTTACATGGGTGGCTTACTTGGAATAAAATATAATTTATTCGAAGTGGATCCTCCATGTGAAGGGAGAGGACATCGGTATGAGCATTGCATTATGTACAAATAACACATCCCAAAATCAAATGTCAACAATGTTTGAAAATTTTGATTTTCTCAAATTATAGATCTATTAAAATAAATCATATCCTAGTTGAATATATAGTTTTAATATCAATAATTATTAGCAAATGGGTATTAAATACCAGCTAACCTTACTCTACAGGCTAACAATGTAAATCGCTTGCAAGCTATAGTTTCCAACCAATTCTTCAAAATGTGAGGAAAATTCAACAAATTGTTTTGCCAAAATTTGTGGGGAGATTAGAATTTTGAGGCCTAGGCCACAATTTTGAGGCATTAGGCCCTTGTCTGGCTTGGTCCTAGAGTCGGCCCTGGGTCATCAGATATGAATGGTCACCAACGTTCGTGCGAAACTCGCAAGCATACAGAAATTGTTGACAAGTAATAGATTTAATGAGTTGAGAATATCATCCTATTATAAATAAATATCAATTCAACGTTATTAGTTATGTATGGAATTCGAATTATGTAAACAAAAGATAATTTAATTTTGTGATTATTCTAAATTAATTTAAGAAAACAATAAAATTAAGGGTTTTTTTTAATCAAATATGGACGATTGTATTGGATCTAAAATTAGCCTATTGTTATCTATTTTAATTCTTGATTCGTAATCTAGTTCTATTCATGCGTTCATGATAATTGATAAAATTAATTTATTTAACTTTATTTTCCTAAACAAATTAATTCTATCCTAACCACGCGATAAATCTATTCCTACCCCGAATTCAAATGATTAGGATGCAATAAATTTTAGATTATTTATATGATAGCACACATGATAAATATTATTTCTAACATCCATCGCGTATATGTTAAATTTATAGTGTTCTAAACTTATTGTGAGTCTCCTAACATTAAAACAATCAACTAATTATTTTATTGGTGGCCAATTAATTAAATAGTGCAACGGGTATATAAAATAATAAAGAAACACAAGAATTAAACTAAACTACTAGCTTTTAATTAGAAATTAAAAAAAAAAAAAAAAGTTCATCTTCTTCCAATACAAAGCGGATCTAGTCTAGCATATTAATATATAAATTACAAAAAGAATAAAGGAAAAATATCACCATAATCATGAAACAATATCAAAGATGTTGATCTTCAATTCCAAAGTTGAATTTTTCAAAATTTTGATGTAATTGGCTTTCAATTCTTATTAGGGTTTAATCTTCTCTACCAAATGTAATGAATTGCCTTCTTGCATGTCCTTAGTGAATTTGATATTATTGTGTATGAAGAGATAAGAGAGATTTTTTTTTTCAATGTGTAGCCCTCATTTTGTATTCATATGAGTGAGATATAGGTCAAAATCGCGTTCAATTTGGGTTCCAAAAGAGTTTAAATCGCGAAAGGAAACTATTGATTTGATTGCGAAAATTGCCCGTGTGCATGAACAAACATAACCACCACGCACACGCTGCTGATCCAAATGGCTCTCAGGTCAAAATTTTGGTGTCTTGCAAGCGAGCCAGAGTTGTCCTCCTTGCGCTCCAGTTTGTGTTGTGTCGTTCTTGAACAGCTCTCGATATTTTGGTCATAACTTTCTTTTTCGATACCCGATTAAGGTAATTCAAAGTGTGTGGGATATTTAACACAGAGATACAATTCTTTTAGAAGTACAATTTTTTCAATTCTAACATTTGCTATCCAAAAAATGAATATCAAGTTGAGGATAAAAATCAAGTGCATAATTTCTTCGGTTGGAAATTGATTTGTTGAAATTATTCAACTATATCTCATTCCTTTGACTTCAAATTGCATCCAATTAATCATATGTGATCTTCAATCATCATTTTATGGTCTAAATCAACTGTTGAATTAGTACGCTTGGGTCTCCAAATTTTGGATTCCTTTCATTTTCGCTCGTTTTTCGTTCATTTCTTTTAATTCCACCAATTTGCATTGAGTTTAACATAACAAATATATTTAACACATAATTAAGCTATAACTCATTAAAATTACTAACAAATGGTCCAATTTGCTGGCCTGGATAAGTGTACAAAATATACTTATAACCCACTCCTAATAGACTTCTACTTAACATTTTCTTATTTCAAGAAGATCAATCTTTTTCAATTTGGATTTTGGCTTAGAAACAAAGTGATTGTTTGACGTTCATTTCTTTGCTAGAAAACAATGTTTTGTACAGTAGAAGTGGGCACTTTGTTGATTATTTGCAGTCTTGTCACTGCTGTACAAGTTGGCAATTGACTACTTTTTAATGTAGTACCGTTTGATTCCAAAACAACCCTCAAATTTTTTTTTGGTAGAGAAAAATACAAAAGGGCAATGTTGTAATTTAGAATTTTATCATTGAGTCCACGAATGGAAAAGCAAATTTCAACGGGTGTATGTCCTGCACCAAAAAATAAAATAAAATTAAGACATGTAAGTTGGTAGATAGTTTTTAATTAATACGGCATTGTTGAAAAAATTGAAAACACTTTAAAATGCCAAATAAAGGCTATCAAACAGACGACAAGTCATAAAAGGAGACAACATTGTTTATGTAAGTTAATGGTAGGTCTCGTGAATTTAATGATTCGCCAATAAATTGGTGTGTCATGTCACCAATATTTAATATAAGTTAAGCATCAATGTTTAGAAAAACATTACTATAAATAGAGAGGCACCTTAGCCACATTCTACACATAACAACTTTATCACTTTACTTATAGCCTTTTGCATGTATTCTCTCTCCACATTTTTACTTTTTTTTTTTTTTTTTTAACTTAAGCATCAGATGAGCTGTAAGGTCACACTTGTTAGCCTTTGTCTCAGATAGTTAGAAGCGTTGTTTGTGATCACCTTAACTCCGAATCCTGGCTCGATCACTTGTCCCACACCCCCTCATTCTGGTACAATTTTTCGTAGCATCAATCGACGACGTCTGTGGGAATTTTTACACATTTCCATGGTGAACATAAGATTCGGAATCATAATCACGTTTGAGAATGCTCGACACTCTGAGGAATCAAGAAGACCTTCCAGGGGATAACAACAAGTTCTCCAAGGAAGCCATGAAATTCTTTAGATTTCCAGCATACCCATCGAACTACTCTCCCTAAGTGGATAGTACTATGATATAACAACTTGAACATAGAGACAGGTGTTTACAAAAATGTTCATTTTTTGTAATGATCCAGCATCTATGCCCAAATAGTTATATGATAAGTACTGTTCACTTTGGGAGGACGTTTGTCCTTTTACCCATCACGATTGTTCGATTCTCAAGATTCGAATCCAAGATCTCTACCTTATTAGAGACTTTAGTTAAATCTAGTATCAATTGAGTTCAAAT